ACGACTTTGTTCACTGATTGACTACTGAGTGAATGTAATTGAATTTCAAAAAAGCGAACTTTATTCAACGAAAAAAAAAAAAACAAAACAAAACAATTAAGCCATCAATATTCATCGGTAGCATCCTCAAATTCCCCTTAGATTTTCTGCCTCAGTCAGTGAAAAATAAAATTCAAACCTGAATGTTTTCGTTCAACAGCTTCACCGTTCACATCTGTCATTTGCTTTCCAGTCAAGCACGTAACAAAATTACCGTTACAATCCAAATGATTCTTCTTGTCGTAATCAATACGATCACTCATTTCGGACTCTTCGCTGACTGATCCAAGACTTTCATTTCTCAAATGAGTGAAGTTCAAAACAGTAAATGAAAGTCAAACACACTACCTTCTGATTGAAAATATCTAATATCAACAGGTTTTAAATGTGTTCGTATGCTCGCTCATAATGCAATGGCATCGTGGATGCTCAACAAAGCGATCAGTTTTACAGATTTGTTCAATGTGAAATCATTTGTAAAATCAATAGCAGCCACCTGCTTAAGGTGCTTCCAGATTTGTGTATTCTTCTCAATTGATGCGTTGGTTTCCTGTTATCGCCCTGATTCACTCCATTTCCATTCTCAAGCATCAGCTTCACAGCCTCATGAATATGAAGAATGCCACCATTAGGACTCAAACAACGACAACCGGTAAGCCAGTATGGACGTGCCGATGGGACCAGCCCCATATTGACACGATCTGCCACTCCATGAGGAGCTACCTGAATCTGTCGAATAGCAGTGAGAAAAGATTGATATAAGAATATCGAAGCGCGTGGAATGAGTGCATCATCAATGCATAAAGCCTCACCCTTCTGGAATCTCCACATATTACAGTACATCGTTCAGTCATTTCGTTTTTTATTAGTGTCCTCTGAAGAGCCTCGGTAGCATCCTCATTCCAGTCGATAGCGTAGACGTGCTTTGCGTTTGCTTTCATCAAATATGCCATCGTGAAGTAACCAATACCTGAACAATTTCAGCTCAGTTTTGGCCGATAAGAAAAACTTTAGCCAATTCATAGAAATTGACTCACTATCAGTAACATTCCATACACTCATCGAATCGCATTTGCTGAGAACAATTACAATTAGTTGAGCGTAATAAAATGCCTGGCATGTTATCTGCAGAATGAAACGTAAATGTGTAATAATCACCAGCAAACAAATCCACAACAATGTCTTTATGACAATCCATCTCAGAGATTCGTTGCTTTTCGTTCAAATTCCCAATGTTGAACATCCGTTTCGTCACATCGTATTCATATCTAATCATGCACACAAATCATCTGGCAATCATGCATCTGGCAAATATCTATTTTATATCAATGATAGCGCTGAAAGTTTTAGCTTCCAATCCGTGAATGTCACAGCAATATGACACTTTGCCTGCTGCTGAAAATGCTAACTGATTCATCCACTGATGTTTACTATTGTTTCGAAGA